TGTGAGCTTTATTTTCTTCTTTACTGCTTTTTTAACGATGGCCTCGCTTCCTTCTCTTTCTATAATCCTCCACAACTGTTGGTACTCAGAGTATTTGGCAAAATGCTCTTGCTTCTTAGTCTCCAGATAACATATTCTGCACATGTTATCCAGGTAAAGACTTGCTTTTCTCTGATGTAGGACTTGCATTGTCAGTAGGAGATCACTTAGGCACTTTATTTTGAATACCCATTCTTTGTAGCTCTCTGTACTTCTACACCTGCTGCCTTTAACTTTACTTATATCCTTCTATACTTCTTTCCATTCAATTGACTTGTTGCTAGTTTCTGGTGCCACCTATTTGTTTATACTTTACAAGCTTTTCTACTCCATGTCAATGCTGATTTCAGTTAATCTTGAGATAAAACTTCTTGTTGTGTCATCTACTTTTATTTCTCGCCATCTAAGCTCAGTTTAGGCTTGCTTGTTCCAAGGCTATCTAGGAGCTAAGAGTACTGCACTGTATGCTTCTTCTTTTGCAAGCTTGTCAGCTTTCTCATTACCTAGTACTCTACTATGTGCTTTAACTTTATAATAATGCACCTTTAGCTTCTTCAACTCTATTGTTCTTCTGATTTGTTCTAGAAGGCATAGGTTTTTTCTCTTAACTATATCGCTTTGCTTGTTATTAATTTTGCTTGCGCATATTGCCTGGATCGCAGCTGAGCTGTCTGTATATACATTTACTAAAGCCTTGATAGGAGCTACTAGTAAAGCTGACCAAATTGCTCCTAGTTTCGCTCTTGTTAAAGATGGCCAGTCTCTCACTGTGTCTTGGAATTCTGCTATAAAAAGATTGTGTTTTCTGCTTTTGTTTTCAACCGCAGCTACCTAGCCGATCCCCATTTTCCTTCTTTCTGGGTTTTCAGTTGGGCTTAAAAGTGAACCGTCAGTATAGAATGCCAATTTTTTATACCCTTCTTGTTGTGTTGTGGTGCTTTTTAGCTTTTCTTTTATTTGGAGATCTTCAAGGGCCTGCTCTATTATTTCATTTACCAGGGACTGTAGAGCATCTTCTGTTGCAGCCCCTTCTTGTGCTGATGGTACTGGAAGCGTGCCAGTAGTGCTACTAGGGGATGTGTCTGCCAAACAGCTTAACAGGATGCAGAGATTCTATTGTTGACTTTCTGTATAGACTTTCTGAAGCAGCCTAGGACTGATTGCTATCGCTTTGTTCTTGAAAACCTTGCTTTTTTGGCAGGATTCCAGATCTTCATTTTTCTTGCTATTTTGTTCGCAACCTCTACACTTGTTTAGCTTAATATTGTTGCTAACCTAGTCATCTGTTAGGATCCAATGCTCTACCATATAGGACTTTCTGCCTTTTTTCTCTACTATTTTGCTGATTTCTAATTTGCCTTTAGTCTTTATTAAGATCTAGTCTTTTCTTCTTTGATCCACACTTATTACATCTGGTATTATTCTTAGGCTTAAACTATTTAATGACTTGGACTGGAAGCTGGATTTGACTCTTTAGCTAGTTTTATCTTCAAGAACTTCTTCATCTTCAATTTTTGCAAACCAAATTGGCATCTTGCCTGCGGCTTTTAATCTTTTGCATTTCTTAATTTGTTTCCACGTGAATAAATTAAGGCCTTCATTATCTAATAGTTGCTCTAAGACGAACAAACCTATCTCTTTTTCTTGGATGTAGCTTCTTATTTGTTTTTCTTTTAATAGGCCTATTATTTCTGTATCTTCTTCTGTGAGCTTAAGATTGTTTTCTATCTTCTCTGATCTGATATTTATATTTATGTGTTTTGCCTCAGTTACGATTTTGTACACCAGGTTCTGTCTAAGCCTAACTTTTTTTAACCTATTCAGGTCTAACTCCAATATACACTTGGTACTTTTGCAATCAATTTGTACTTGCTATATTCTAATCCAAGTTGCCTTGTCAGTATCATTTTGACAGTGTATGTGTTTACGTAATTCTGTTATGTGATGTGCTATTTGATTTTGCCAAAACGTTTTTAACCCAGCTATATTTCTGTGCATTAAAATTGCATTTGCCATAGTGCTGGCTAGGTCTGATTTGTTTTTAATCAGTTTTACTAAGGGACTCTGCAATCTATCACACTGTTCTCTTGATAGTATACAATGCTGGAGTCTGTACTCTAACCTTGGCAGCAGTACTCTATTGTTGATGTATATTAATTGTGCTAGCGTCATGCTTTTCTTATATATTGCTTTACTTATTATGTTGATCTTCTTCTTAGCAGTCTTAATAGCATGATAGTGATTGGGTTTTCTTGAAAGCCAGACACCTAAGAATCTTGCTTTCTTATTTATTTTTTTCCCAAATACCTTGTCTTTTGCTGGCCCAAATTCTACATATCTAGAATTTATCTCTTTAATCCCTCCAACTACCAAGAGTTCTGATTTCTTGCTATTTATTTCGATATCATTAAGTCTGTAGAATTCTTAAGCAATTTCAAGTGTTTTTTCCAGTTCATGTTTACTGGCTGCTATGTAGGTAGTATCGTCGGCATATGTGATTACTGGGACTCTTAAACTTTGCTAAGATCTCATGTTTTTGCTAAGGCAAGTAGGCTAGTTTACTTCTAGTTTATATCCACATTCGCGATTTTCTTGTAACTCTGCTAGCAGAGGATCATAAAAGATACGCCAAACCAGAGAAGATATTACTTCTCTTTGATCTATCCTATCACCAGCTATAAAATGCTCTGTTGTGCCTATGTTTGTTACAATCTTTATTTCACAGTTCTTGTATAGGTTACTTATAAAGTGAATTATAGTGCTTAGAATCTTAATTCTTTGCAGAGCTAGCTTAAGCATCTTGATTTCTACAGAATCATATGCTTTTCGCATATCTTGAAACATCAACCATATCTCTTTCTTCTTTTCCTTTGCTTCTTCAAGCAGACAGTTTAGAAGATGCACAGGTGCTGCAGTACCCTCTCCAGGCAGGCCAGCAAAATTTCTGCCTTTTAGAATGCTTCTTTCACTTATTACTTTTGCTAGCCTGTTTGTTACTATTCTTATAACTATTTTTCTAAAAGATTCTAGGAGCAGGATTGGATGCACATTGTTTAGGTTTTAACACCATTCTTCTGTTTTGGGTATCAGGTACAGAATTCTAAGCTTCCATTTCTTTGGCATCATCCCACTTTTAATACACCCTGTAGCTAATTTATGAAACACCACACTTGTATAACTTCCAACTCCTCTAATTAAGGGGTAGGTAATCCCAGATGTGCCTGGAGCTGACTTGGCTTTGGCTTGTATTAGAGCAGCATCCCATTCTGCTACGCTGACCTCGTTCGTAAGATCTGCAAACCAGTCCTCCTCTATATCCTCTCTTGGGGTGTATTGCTTCTTCCACCTTGGAGGTAGCTCATTTGGGTTCGCTGTGTTTCTTCTGCGGAACTGGTTTGCAAAGTAATTTCTAACTTTTTTCAATATCTTAGCAGGGTTGTACACCAGTTCAGCTTCACCTTCATTATCTCTGACTACCCTATCTATTCTAATTTTTCTACTTGGTCAGTCTAGCAAGCTGTTTAACATTCTTCTTTGATCAGACACAATGCGATCATGTCTTTTCTTTATACAATTTCTTATTACTGTCTCTTCAGCTTTTCTAATTTTTAGATGCCATTCTTTGTAAAGAACTTTGGCCAAACCTTTCAAATTCTCTATATTTAGATTGTCTGTTTCAATTGCCAACTCTGTACCTAACTATGATTTTACTTGAACTAAATAGCTACTTAGTGTATTTTCCTCTTCTAGGTTTGTTGAGCCTTTTTTAAGTTTGCGAAAGCATCTGGAACAAACTTTAACCGCTAGTCTCAATGCGAGTGTTTCTTTGTTTTCTATACTAATCTGCTTAATCTTGGCAGTTTTTTTTTTCCTTGGAATACTTTTGTTTATAGCTATTCTAATACACCTTTCTATGATGTCCCATTCCTCATCGAGGTTTTTTGGTTTGTATTTGCACCATTAGTCTTTAAGTTTCTTGTCGAGTACTTCTTGATACTCTTTCCATTCTTCTTTAGTTGCCGAGCTCACATTAATATTTACCCTCTTTCTGTAGTAACGCTTCTGTTTTGCCGGTTTTGCATTTCTTAACTCTAGGCCTATAAGAATGCTTGCTCGTATGAGTTTGTGGTCACTACCGGTGCAAATTGTTATATCGTCTACCTTGCTACTAGCTATGCTATTTCTCCACTATTTCGAGACCCATATGTAGTTAATCCGGGTTTCTGTAAAGCTATTTGACCAAGTTGGTGCTTGTGTAAGCTCATGTACATCAAAGAACTGCTTCTCTTCCAGAGCTTGTAATATTCTTTGTTTGAGGCTCGTTTTGCGACTTGTGCTTGTGTTACTAGGGTCATCACTCAAAGAACCTTTTGTGCTTATATTCAGGTCACCTAATATCACATGTCGCTGTGGTTTTCTTTTATGTTGACTAATACTATATTTCAGTTTTTGTAAGATCGCCTCTTGCACCTCTTTGTTGTTTGGAGCTACGTATATGTATATAATATTAAATGTGATACCTCTAAAGTCTAATACTAAACTTAAATAATATGGGTTATCTCTGACTATTGATATGATGTGTTGTTCCCATGTTTTTCTGATTAGTACCCCAAGTCCAGATCCTTTTTTCTTCATTTCATCAGAGTCTGCCCATATGCTAATATAAGTGTCATTGTCTTTTGTTGCAAAGGAGCCTTCTTTGTTGCTAATATTTGTTTCTGTGAACCCAAGAATATCAATTTTTTTCCCTTGCATAATCTATGATCACTTTTAGCTTATTTTTGTTATTTTTTAATCCATTGATATTGTAAAACCCAATGTTCATCATATAAAATTGTTTATATCTGTCTTTCTTCCCCAATGTCCCCCATCTACCTTCATTCTCCGGGGACACAACCTCGCCTTTACTCTTGAACCCCTCGTTTGTTTCTAAGAGTTTCATTGTTGCACCTGGGGCGCCCTTAGGAGCGATCCGCAAGATCGTCTCTTGTGGATATTCTATGAGATAAGCTGTCTTGACCTTCTAGCTTGTCCAGTCTGCCTATAATTTGCAGTAGTATGGATTGAACCATATCCTCTTGAGTTGGCTAACTCTTCAAAGCCCCCTTACTATAGTTTCTGTAGTTAGGTTTTATGTTCTCCTTATTTTTGTTTCTTTTGTTCAATAATGAAGCAGGAGGATCTAATTTGTTGGTTGCTTTGATTTTGCTATCTCTATTCTGAGTATAAGAATTTTCTTTTCTCTTTGCTGCACTTTCTCTTTCCTGTTTAAGTGAACGATTTTTAGATCTTCCTCTTTTGCTGGAGGCGGAACTGTTGGATTCTTTTTTTATACTGTCTGTTGTACCCCATTCTAGTCTTGTATTGTAGTAATATATTCTTTTTGCTAGTGCTGCTAGTAGCTCTTCTTCTGATTTAAAAATCACAGATGCTGTGCTTCTTTGATTTTGTTCTGGTTGTGCGAAATATACACTGCTTGCGCTCTGACTGGCCTTAACTGTTTTAGCAGCATAGTTTCGAGGGCTGTCTTTGGGATATTTTTTAGAATCACTTTAAATCTTCCTCTTTCATCTAGAATGAACCTGTCGAATACTCTTTCTGATAATCTTAGCATCTTATCCTCTTCAAAGTGCACAGCCCAGACATTTGTAAACATAGCTTTTCTTCTCTCATTCCAGAAAGTTATGTTGAAGGAGACGGCTTTCTTTGTTTCTACAAATTCCCAGTGTTTAAATTGTACTCGACCATAAAAATGCAGACATTTTCGCACTCTCATTGCTTTAACTTCTGCTGGTATGTCCCAAAGAGTATAACAGATTTTTGAAGCCTCTGTATCTTTGCCTCCGTCTTTTATAGTTTCTATAATATCTATCTTCAGAGTGTTGTCTCGGGTATCCACATTAGTAGATTTAACAGGCCGTGATTCTGTATTGTGTACTTTAGATGTGTCGAATACTTGGACTATATCTTCTTCTTTTTTGCAGGTTTTTTTGATTTCCCTTTTCTTTTCTATTGGGCTCACACTTCTTTTTCTTGTTTGGATATTAGTTTTGTACTGTTGTGACTTTAATTTCTCTTGTATACCATAATCTGATGTGCCACATTCCTGGTTAACTAATATCTCCTTTCTTTTTTCGCTTTCATTTGAGTCTATTAGGTCTATTAGTTAAGCATTCTCCCCGTTTTTGATTCTCAGATACTCTAACCAGTTATAAGTTTCAATTAAACACCTGAACAAATATATTAGTTGTGGCTCAGCTCTTACAAAAGCCGCTATTTCATTGTCCTTTCTAAGACATTCTACTAGGTGCTCCTCTTTGAGCATATTAAAATCATCTGTTGATTTTTTAAAAATGTTCTTGTACTTGTTTATCTTGTGCCCCTAGTGTATCTCTGTGACTTCTGGCTGTTCAGTATTCATTTTGTGCATGTGACTCATATTAACAGTTATTGCAATAGTTACTCTATAGTAAAATTATGTGATAAGTTTTTATTAAAAAAATTAAACATTTTAATAAAAATACAGGCAAATTTGCCTGTGTTACAATTTAAGAGATAATAGAATCTGTATCTCAAGCACAACCTTTCTAATTAGTTCTTTTATTATTTACTTCTCACTCCTTGTAAGGTTCATTACCCCAATACTACATTTATACTCCATATTTTGGTCTTTGGTCTTTCAATCTAAATAGCTTGAAAGGATTGGTTTGCCCAAACCTGAGAGTTTCAATCTCAGGTCTGAAGGTCATCTAATTCTTAGTACAAGCTTTTATAATGCAAGTTCTTTTTTTCTGGAATCTCATTATAGGATCTTTCACTAGATACCCTGTACTAAAGTAACTAATAAATATATATTTAGTGTAGCTCTAGTAACTCCAGCAGCCTGGTTGGTAATTCCTTTTGCCCAAAGATCTTTGTTACTCAAATTTTCATTTCTAGACTACTCTTGTAGTATTGTTGAAAGCTGCTAATCCTTACTTAGGACTTTCTTAAGACCTGGAGGTTCTCAAGTTAGTTTTAAATCTCTAGATTCTATATATAAGTATCTTTACTATTTTTCATTTCTAGAAGGTTTATTTTTAGTTTGTGCTGCTTGTACCAGTTTGTATTTCTTTATACAATAGCACAAACACTTCTAGAAGCTTCTAGCACTCAGAGCTATTGGTGTGACCCCAGTAACAGATTATAAACCCAACCCAATTTGAGAGATCCACTATTATAACACAAGTATTTTTGTTCAAAATATTGCTATAAAATTTGAACTCAGTATTATAGTCAAGCTAGCTTTGAAGAATGACAACTTCACTACTTTACTAAGTTGCCACATCTAAGCTTTATTTTAATTATATAATCTACAGAATTCAGAAAAAATAATAAAGTTTAAAAAATTTAATTAAGTAATTATT